GGGGCCAGACTCTTTGCAGTGGTGCCCAGCGACAGGACAAGGGGCAACGGGCACAAACTGAAGCCTGGGAAGTTCCAGCTGAACCCGAGGAAGAACTTCTTCCCTCTGAGGGTGCCGGAGCCCTGGCCCAGGCTGCCCAGAGGGGCTGTGGAGTCTCCTTCTCTGGAGATATTCCAGCCCCGCCTGGCCGCGGTGCTGTGCCCCCTGCTCTGGGTGACCCTGCTTGGGCAGGGGGTTGGGCTGGGTGACCCACAGAGGTCCCTGCCAACCCCTGTCATGCTGGGGTTCTGTCATTCTGTGATCCCGGGGTGACGAGCCCGATTCTGCTCCCACAGCAAGGAAAGCTGCCCTGGCTGAACGGCACCCAGCGCGTCTCCCACCGTGCGAAGCGGGATGGAACGCAGGCGTCGGGAACTACCCCCACACGAGCGAGGAGCAGGCCGTGTCTCCTACCAGCCGGGAAAGTCTCTCTCTCCCATCAGAGACAAGTGGGAAGAGCCTGACCGTACTTTGAAGATAAATATAGCACGAAAATCTGTTTGCTCCTTACCTACGTGTTTCAGCGCTGATACCCTCGCTCCAAATAGCTCTCGTGGTCTGTTCCCACACTTCTTAAGCAATTATGTTGTTTGGGTGTTTTCCCTTCTTTCTCCTCCTCCACCGCCGGGTATAGACACCACCTCCCGCTCAGCGTTAATAAAAGCTCGGACCCAGCAGTGGAAGGCAGCAATGAGCAGCCAGTCCCACGAAACCAAACACGAGCTTCTCGAAAGCCACGGGCAGCCCGCGCTCACCAGCGGCCACCTCGCTGCCCCAAGACATCTGAAAACGCCCCCCCGAATGTTATTTTTAATTCCTGGCTGGTTTCGGGTGATGTGCCAGGACGGAGCTCCCGACAGCTGAATCTCTCAGCAGGTACCTGAAGCACTGCTGCCTGTAAGCTCCTTTCCCCCTTGATGCTCCGGTGTTTCCAGAGGCCCTTGTCACATTTGCAGCAGGCAGCAAAGCATTTGAAACACGATTAACACATTGCTCAGCTTCCCTCGGTCTTCAGTGGAAGCTCTCGAGGCTCAGCCTTTCCAACAACGTGCCCACGTCCCACTCTGTCCCCAAAGGCCACCTCAAGGTGGGAAAGGTTTCAGGAGCTCCCCAGTGCTTCCAGCCCCACGTTCAAAGCCTTCCACCACCGCCCAGGGGACAGGGGCAGGGAGAGCAGGGCAGCGGGGAGGAAAGCATCCGTTCTCACCCAGCTTTGCCAGCCTCGATGGACTGCTGCGAGGAGGGTAGCGGCACCTTGTTCATGATGAAGACCATCACCTCAGACTGCTGGTAGGTGGGCAGCGTGCTGGCAAAGGACCCTGTGGAGACAAGAACACGCTGGCAGCGTGCAAGGCGCAGCCCACCGCAGTGGGGTCTGTCCCTCTGCCCCACTCCAAGCCGGCTGCCAGAGCCCCATAGCCAGGCTGGGATAGCACAAGGCATCCGGTACCCACAGGCAGCTTTATCTTCAGGGTCATCCAAGACCCATCAAAACACCTCCTAGCTTGGGCAGCCCCAGGCCTGGGCAGGGTGAGGCTTAGAGATGCCAACCCCTGCCTCTACCCCTTCTTGTTTTAGGGCTGGTGCATGCCCATCCTCAGTGGCTGCAGCAGCCTGACGCCTGCCCTCTTTTCCTCCTCTCCATCCCTTCCTCAAGGTCTCCAGCCCAGGGAGGAACAGGACTCTGCCTGCGTGGAGCAGCTCTGCCAGGACAGCTGGAGTTGCAATGCCACTTGTTGATAACCCACCGTCACGTTTGCAACACGCCACGACGGAGAAATCTCATTTCCCATCACTGCTTCTAGGATCAGGGTGACTTTATTTCACCCCGGATAATCCTTCCAGATGCACAAAGACAGAAGCCCACCACGCTGGGGGGTCACCCACCACCAGCACAGCCTGCGCCGGGCACCGCGGGACACCCCACCCCACCCCAGCCCACCTATGGTTTTAATGACGGCCTCCTGGAACATCCTCTCTTCGTGCTCCTTGATGATCTTGGTGCTGACGCCGGCCACGCAGTCGTAGCTCCCCGTCAGCGCGTAGTCGATGCTGAGCCGCAGCTGCCCCAGCAGGGGGTTGGAGACCTC